GAGGGCGGGTCCCGCCGCTGGCGGCGCGGGCCGCGGCGCCGCCGCCATTTTGCGGGCCCGGCCGCGGTGCCGGCGCCGGCCTGGAGACCCAGCGAGGTTCCCGGTGCTGCGGAACCGGGAGCAGCGTGGCGGGACCGGCTGGAAGTGTGGCTGGTCCTAAATGACCGGTCCTATCTGCCCGCATACACGGCCCCAGCAGGAGCCTGCCCTTCCTCTCCCCTCAGCTGCGGGCACTGCCCAGCACCTCCAGTACATTTCAGCAGATTGGAACCCATCGTGTCTCTGTCCTCCTTCCTAAGCGACAGCTTCAGGGCCCCCATAAATAGATTTTCTCCCTTGAGCCAGGCCTTCTCAAAGACCTTTGAACAAAGAGCAGGTAACTCCCCAGCTCTTCAAGAAAAATAAAGTCAGGCATCAGGTCATGCTGCAATTAACTTAAAAGCGTCAGAGAACGTCGGAAACCCAAACTGGCTACAAATGGGAGAAGTTGCGGGTTCKTTCTGTGCCTTGGGCCTTGAGTCATCGTGGAGCTGTGTGCTCCTCTCGGGTGTTGCCATCAAAACTCGTATTGTGGTTATTTCATGAGTGTGCGGGAGCCAGGAGGTCGTGAAATGCAGCAGCAGGGCTGCGTTAGAAAGGGGTTTTGCAGCAAGGGGAGAAAAGCAGACACTTCTGCCAGGTGACAAATTGCCTTCCGTGCTGGACTGCTCCATCTAAATAAATACACAGTTAACAAAACGAGGCAGTCCGCACAAGGATGGAAGACCCACAATTGAAAAAAAAAAAAAGAATAATAATAGATGTGGCCTGTAGGTAGTGGCACATATAGCAGAAAGCCTGAAAGGGAAAAAAATCAACAGCAGCGTGTCCTATAGGGCTCTTTTTTGTGAAACTCCCATGAAATCATGGAGCGCTTCACCACCAGATGTCAGCATTGCAGAGCGGTTATTCCTGCACGTGTAGGAAAGATCTTCTAGTGCTGGACATCAGGTTTCTATTAGCTCATACCTTATGGGCTCATTCCCTAGTATGGGCCTTATTTTTTTTTTTGTAATCATCAGGATGGGATTATAGGTACAAAATTGTCTGCACAGGAGAATTCCAGTAATAGTTGTCTTTGGTCTTGGTTGTTAAACCCTCACACTGGCTGGAAAAAAGGGTCTGTTGGCTTCAGTTCTGTGGAGGAAATGAGGAAGAAAGTGGGAGACTATTTTGGGCTTCTATTTAGAAAAGAAGGGCACTTGGGGGAGCCAAGTTTCTTTTTAAAGGTATCCAACATCATAAGCCAAATAGCTGGCAAAACACTGAACTTCTTTCTTTCTTCTCCGCCTTTTGCAAGGACAGTTTTTGTTTCTTTCCAAACAGCTCACCAATCTTATTTGCATTTCGCTTTAAAATTCAGTGCTTGTTTTGGTGGCCCACAACCATTCAGTCCTCCCAAACATTCCCTGCTGCAACAACAGCTCTCTCACTCTGCCGCTGTGGGGACTGTCATCAGCCCTTCCCAAGTCCCCGCAGTTGGTGACATGCTGAACAAACAGTTCAAGTTTCTGAACCCTGCACAGAGGAGACCTGTGGGAYGGCACAATAAAGCTCCAAAAGGGCTGTTTGAGCTCAGAGTGGCCAGATTTGGCTGCATTTCTCTGCCTGTTCATGTGAGCTCCTGTCCAGAAGGCTCTTGAGGGAGGCGATGTGAAGATCATAGGTCTTTAACCCTTGGAAGATGTTGTCTATGGAATTTGCTTAGCCACTATTTAGAAGAGATGTAGAGCAGATGAACCTCTGCTACCTTTATGGGCCAGTATGAAGAGAAAAGAGTGGTGTTCATGAGTGGATGTTTTAATCCATTGAAATAGACAGCAGAGAGGGCAATACTGAGAGACACAGAAGAATGAGGGAGATAGAGATGATCACTGTAATTCRCTATGGCCTGTTACTTGTAACTCAGTTTTGGTGTTGGGGTATTCATGCTGAAGTGGGGAGAAATGGTACAATATTTAGTTTCCTGTAGCACATACGGCATAGGGCTCCCTTCTGTCACTGTCAGAATCTCTGCAATGACTGCGCTGCCGGGTTGCTCTTCCTCTGACATCCCTGTAATTATTTTCTGCTTTTCCTGTGACTTGAAGAAAATTGCCAGAGACRGTAGGCTTCATTGGCCCTTCCTTTCTAGTAGACTGTGTTTATGTAAGGAATCATCCAGCTCTGTCTCTAATGATAATATGGGAGACAGTCTGCATGAAGCTGCATGAGCTAAGTGCTTCTAAGGTTAAAATGTAGACAGAACTTTCTTTTATTTCTTTTACAATATGATAAATGTAGACTTAGGGATAGATAATGTTTCTTGCACGTCTCCAAAGTCTTCTTCCATAATAGTTTATTATGAACCATCTGGTCTCATTAATGTTTTATCAAAGACCAGCTGGCTGCTGTAT